GGAAGCACGAGAGGGGTAGATAATCAAAATGATTTAGGGGTCCAAATACATAAATTATTGAAAGCTATTTTGCAGGTAGAGAAAGCAATCTAATGAGATGCTAAACTAACAAAGTGAATATAAAAGCAAGTTGTATAGTGCTGGTCAGACCTCATTTTGAATATTCTATTCAGTTTTAGGTATCCACTTGAGGAAGCATACACAAGCTTTTGTGAAAATATTCCTTAGAGTTGAATAGGTCAATTTGTGATGTGATTGAGATATTCAATATAATGAAACAAGCCAGAGGGATAACTCTTTCCTCTCATAGAGCTATACAAAACAAAAAACATAATTAGATGCAAATTGATTAGAAATTAGATCAGAAATATTTCTTTGTACAAAGGGATGTGAGATTATGAGACATAAAGCAATAAATACAGGATCAATTGAATGTTTACAAGGAAGCTGGATAGATAGTTTGAAGTAATGGTACTAGGAGATATGGAGAATAAACATGGAAATGTGATTAAAAGGTCTCATGTAACTTAATAAAATAGCATATCTGGCTTGACATGCCAAATGGCTTCCTCCTAATTCTGTCCCTGTGTTACTAAGAAATCGGAAGCGATTATGATGGTGATTGACCAAGTTCAAGAGAGGTTTGATTTTTCTGTCGACAGTCCAATTTCACATGTCCCATCCATGGGTTATTATTCTGTAGATATAAATATATCTCAGGCTTTAACGATAATATTATTACACCTATCTAACCTGGAAGTAATTTTCCTTTCCTTTGGATGGTTCCAAGCCTCGGCAGGCTGAATGTCCTTCAGGGAAACAGCCAGAAACTAAAAATTCAAAGTTAGCCTTAATAAATAAGTTACTTGATTTATACATAATAAATCCTTTGAAATTTCAATACTTCAGAATGCAAATGATGTATAATTTATGGCTCCACTGCTGGCGAGCGTTTGCAGAGTTAATAAGTTACAGATCATTATTATAGTATTCACACAAAGTCATTAACATTCAGATCAGTGCAAACCAAGCAAGAGGTGGCAGAGATTTAAGGTGACCAAAGATGTGGTCCAATAGATTGGTGTTTGAAAGTAGGAAGAGAGCTATCAAGACAAGTGTCAACTGGAGAAAAGCTTCAGAGGCTAGGAGTGTGGCCACTGAAGTCATGGCCACTAAGGGTGGAGCAGAGGGAATGGGACACAAGCAGAAACAGTGTCAGTAGAATGGATGGTTGTAAAATGGAGTTTACACCTGTAGTCATACGCTTCTTCAGAATTTTATGTTGACTTGAAATCATGAAACTCTCCCTTTCAGCAGTTTTCTGGATGTAGATTTCTGGAAAGCACTGTGGGACGTTACCTCATGTGAAGGGCTCTGTATAAATGCAAGTTATTGTTGTTGTAACCCAGAGTCTGGAGTTCACATAGTTTTGTGTTGATTTCCTGAGAGACATGTTGAAAGAGGCAGAATAAAAGCAGTTTATACAAAAACTGTGCAGGTTTGAGCTGGTGACAATGGATTTTGTCAGATTTTAGTTAAAGTTTTAATTCATTTTTTTTCTGTGTCATTTTAGTCCCCTTTTTATTTACATTGTTTTAATTTGATGTTCTGTGTGCTTTCTGTGTGTTTTTTTCTTTGTAGGTTGAAAGAAACCACAGCCACACAAACATGAACCACAGTGCCTGGAGATTTATATTCAAGATGCCAAAGATTTGAGTGTGTTTCACCTGTTAATGGTTAATGTCTTTGTCTTCACTTTGTCTCCTCTTGTGTTCTCTCGTGGCCAGTAGCCATGTTGTCTTTGCTGCTCTTAACCTCCTGTGTATGAATAAGTGAATAAGCAGAAATCCCTGTTAGTTTGTTTTCATCGTTCTTTCCTTTCTCTTGAGGGATTTGGGTTAAATGGTGAGAACGAGATAGAAAGCTGTCAGTTTAATATTAAAAAGCTCAAATGATACTCAGAGATCAGAAGATTTTTTTGACATGGAATATCAATACGTAGAGCAGACTACCATGTCCTTCTTCAAGAAAGAATTGGCGAAGAGAGCCAACTTTCTACAGTTGAACGACAGCAAGACCGAGGCTCTCCTGATTGGCTCACGCCAGTGCCTCCCCACCTCAGGCACTGGCAGCATCAGCATCCATGGATACACACGTCACCTAACCAAGCCACTCAGGAACCTAGATGTCTTGTTCGACACTCAGCTTTCCTTTCGACCCCACATCGGTGCCATGACCCATTCTGCCTAACCCCACCTCCGCAACATTGCCTGACTCCGCCACTGCCTCACCACTCAGGCCGCCAAAGCCCTCATACATACCTTCATTACATCCAGGCTCGACTATGCGAATGCCCTGCTTGTCGGCCTTCCCAACTATACCCTCCACAAGCTACAGATCATCCAGAACTCTGCAGCTCGTGTCGTCTCCCGCACTAGGCTCCGTGACCCCATCATACCCACCCTCGCCCGGCTCCACTGGCTCCCCATCCCTCAGAGGATCGAGTTTAAAATTCTCGTCCTCACCTTCAAGACCCTCCATGGCCTTGCCTCCTCCTACCTCTCCGACCTGCTAACCCCCTTATCAACCTGTCCGCTCCCTCCATTCAACAGGCTCTGGCCTGCTCCATGTCCCCCGCCCAGCCCGCCTCATCATCAGGGGTCGGGCCTTCAGCCTCTCTGCCCCCACCCTCTGGAACTCCATCCCACCTTCCCTTTGCCTTGCTTCCTCCCTTGCCTCCTTCAAGGCACGCCTCAAGACTTTCCTTTTCGACCATGCCTTTGGCCACCTTCCTACCCTCTCTGCCCTCTACCCTCCCTGACCCCAACACCCCTACCCCCGTCCCCCCCAGCCCCCGCTCAGGTCCTAATCCCTGATTGTTCAGCAATTTGGGACGTCCTCCCGACATGAAAGACGCTTTACAAATGTAATTTGGTATTTTTTTATGTATTGTAAGTGGCTGGGAATATTATTGGGAGTGTCAGGCTAGGTAAACAACAACTCGAACACTGCACCCACTGTAGCATCCCAGAGTGTAAATGCAGAGATGAATCACAATGTTTGCTTTCTGCTTTCAGCACCTCGGTGTATCCTCCTGTTGTGAAAAGTGCTATATAAATGTAATTTGTTGTTGTTGCTGGCGAAGTAGGAAGCAGGTCAGGGGAAAATAGGAAAGATGTGGGAATATCTGATTATTCTGGAGATGTTACTTAATTATTTAAAACGACTGTGCGTCTGTGTAGAGGTTTTCTGAGAGATTGGATTAAGGATCATCTTTTGTCTGTGCGAGTTCCTGCTCCAGTGGTGTCTGCTGGACAATGTTTGTCTAGGGATATTGTATAAGGTCAGGATCAACTGTGAAGTGCTTGTAATCTGACAACACCCACTGTCTGCACTGGTGAAGAATGGTTACTAGGGCGAGTGTCCCTAGGGCAGCAAACTGCTGACTGTGTCCCAGCAAAGGGTGGGAAGAAGCTGGGCAAACATTGGAGTGAAAGAAACTTGCTAGCAGCTGTCGCTGTTGCTGCCTCATGGGCAGACTTAATTATCTTTATGGGTTAATCATTTCTGTCATCCCTTTGACATAAGATAATTTCCAAGTCTTGCAGAACAGAACATATGATTGGATAGTACAGGATTGGGAAAGGTACTGTATCTGTGATTGCAGGTCCCAGACAGACGACAATACGCATCAGGGATTCGCTCAGTGCATTAAAGCTGCCGAATGCTGTCAGTTCATTTGTATGTTCAAATGTTAGAATATTTACTGACATCAAGTACTTCACTTTGACCTCATGTGTCGCTTGCTAATCCTCTCTGTGTAATTTCTCAGTAAGAGGTAATCGTAATCGTCTGTCACAGAATGTTCTCTGTGTGTTTGAGGTTAAACATGAGGGCTGGCTTTGTGGGAAGAATGCTCTGTTATTGATTTGGGCCATTTCCATTCTTGCACTGGACTAGCTGTACCTGATTAAAGTGATGAAATCCTTTACTGCCCAGTATGGCACATTGTCCTTCTGATCTCTTTTGTTTCCTGTACAGACAGGTATTCCCAGTGGCTTTGCCTCTTATTATCTTCTTTGGTTCATTCCACATATTTAGCCCTTTTGGTTAGGACAACGTTGCCTGATCACTTTTATAAACTTACTTGTCACTAATGTCCTGCACTTGCACTATAATAGGAAACTTTAGGAAATGTTACTAGCCAAAGACCTTGGGGTGGAATGACTGATAGTTTGTATGTTATGTATATGTAAGGCGTGGTCTAACAATACTGTGGTCGTCTTAAGATTCCCAAACATCCTGTTAATACTCTTTCTTCTTTCATCAGCTGGGACTTAACTCTCCTACATTCAGAGAGGATTTGTCTGCACTGTGACAGTTGTGTGATTGACAGGAATCTCATTGCAGGATGTACAGCCCCTCTGACTGCTCCAAATCTATAATATATTATATTGTGAGGGATTGCAAAAGTTTTATCTAGCCTGAGGGCATAACTTTAGTTTATTTACTGCGAGAGCATTCTGCTATCAGTTGTTGTCTGAAGCACAGAGATCACCAACGCTGCCTTTGGTATTCTCTAATCCACTGAGATAATGATTTCAGCACTGGGGTTTAATGCAGTGTTAGGTCCGATGCTCTGGTTTCACACACTAAGCTCTGGCAAGGCACATTGATCAAATAACGTAGAGAGAACTTTACTCGCTGTCTAACTCATCATTTAGCTGACCTGGGAGTTCTGGATAGGACTGCATAGAGGGAGCTTTGCTCATTGGAACCCATACTGAGCCTGACCTGGGAATGTGGGCAAACAGTGTAGAGGGAGCTTTACTTTGAATCCGACAGTATGAGGTGCCAAAACCAGGGTAAAAACAACCATTTACGGACCAGTTTCTGCATCTGTCTGAAAATCTATTCAAAATCTGTTCTCAATTGGTTAATTTAATCAATCTGCAGTAAGACAGCATCTGTGATTAATCTCTGTTTCTCTGGTGTCCCAGGCGTGCAGCACGTCAAGAGGAGAGACATTGTCCTGAAGCGGGAGCTAGGGGAAGGAGCTTTTGGCAAAGTGTTTCTGGCTGAATGTTACAACCTGAGCCCCACCAAGGACAAGATTCTGGTGGCTGTTAAGGTGAGAGAGAATGTCTGCAGGAAGCCACAACTTCAGTTTACAATTTCTTCTAGAGGAGATTAAATCAAGTCACGAATGAGTTGTGCATTCCCTTAACCCCTTCTCTTTGTCTCCAAACTCACATCACATCTATATTGTAGAGCCACAATCCTTTTCGGACTTTGCTCTCTTGCAGTCAGGGTATCCTTTAAAGGACTGTTTTGATGTATAAGTTAAGCAACATAGAACATGGGCTATTTTACTATGTGAGAGGGAGAGGGGCTACACCTGTGTGTGGGGAGGAGTTAACTGTGTGAGGGGACAAGGTCACATATGTGGCAACATACCGGCTACAGTGTGAGTGTGACAATCTAATAATAATAATAATAAACCTTGATTTGACACAGCGCGTTATCAGGTTTTCGAGTCGTCTCAAAGCACTTCACAGAATATACTGTAAAGTGAATTGACTGTACAATTTGTGGCCGAAACATGGCAGCCAATTGCACACAGCAGTCCCACGAGCAGTCATGGATTGAGTGACCAATTTATTATTATTGTTTTTTGAATTAATTATTACCCCTGGAAAAGTGATCTGCCAATCGACTAACAACCCAGTTCCTACTTACTGCTAGGTAAACAGAGACGTGTGGAGTAAGGAAACTTTCCCAACATTTCACCCTACCCGGGAATCGAACCTAGGTCTCTCGCTTCCAAGACGAGTGCTCTAACCACTGGGCTACAGGACCACAATGTATGTACTGGCTAGAGTGTGAGTGTGACAATCTACTGACTACCTTGTGACTGACCTGCAGACCCTGAAGGAAGGCACGGTTTCTGCGAGGAAGGATTTCCAGCGAGAAGCACACCTCCTGACTAATCTGCAACACGAGCACATTGTGACCTTCTATGGGGTGTGTGTGGATGGTGACCCCCTCATCATGGTCTTTGAGTACATGAAGAATGGAGACTTGAATAAGTTTCTCAGGTGAGTGAGCTGTTAACCTGCTATGGAATGAGGTAGCCATGTTCTAGCAGCACAAACACCAGCTTCAGCCCATTCACAGACATCGCTTTGTCAGCACTTTACATTTTGTGGCTAATGTCGTGAGCATTAGATACAACAACAGCAACTTGCATTTGCACGTTTACATAGTACCGTTCACGTGGGGCAGAGTCTCGCAGCACTGAGATGAATTTAATGTCATTGGATAATGTACAACAGAGGCCTAACTTACAAAGAATTGCAATGGTACAAATGCCTTTTGTGTCCCAGTTCTCAGACAGTATATAGTTGTAGTAACGTAGAGTTACTGTAGGCTCTGGGTACTATATAAATGCATGTTATTGTTGTATTACAATGCTGATAGTGGCAGTAAAATTGTGCTAAGGTGTTGCAGGGCTCAGGGGAAACTGTAATGAAGATTTAATGTCAGAGCAGCTTCCCCAGGAAGTGAGGACCAGTGAGCAAACACTGGAGCATTTGCAATGAGGAGGTGGGGATGGGTAGGGCAGCCATGAGGTTCCTGGTGTGTAATGTGGATCACATGGAATACTGGCTACCAAATGTGCCAAGAATACTGAGCTACCTCCAAATAAACATCATTCAAAGGCATCATGGTAAGTTTGCTTAATTTAAAAACAAATTTCCAGAATGGGCCGAGGCAGACAGATGGGGTTTAATATGGATATAAATGTTCCACTTTCACATTGGAACAGGAAGCATGAAACGTGGACATGATGAAAGGTTGTCCATTAGCGAAGGATTAAGAAAAATAAAACTAATTTCCCCTTTTTAGCATCTTATCACGTCTCACAAACTATCTCAAAGCACTTTACAGGTAAATCCCTTTACTCCCTAGGCCCTCCCTCCCTCTCCGACCTCCTCACTCCCCAATCCACCACCTGGCGCCTCCGCTCGACGGGCACCGTCCCTCGCACCCTCCGCCGCACCATCGGAGGTCGCTCTTCCAGCCACTATGCCCCAAAACTCTGGAACATTCTCCCTCCGTCCCTCCGCCTTGTCCCCTCGCTCCCCTTTTTCAAGTCCCGCCTGAAAACCTTCCTCTTTGATTGTGCTTATGGCCATCTCCCCTCCCCCCCCGGCTCGGAGTCAGGCTCCGCCACTGTTAAGCTCTTAGACGCTACCCTGTTGGAGGGTGATGTATAAGTGCAAGTTGCTGTGGAGTCCTGTAGCTCAGTGGTTAGAGCACTCACCTTGCAAGCGAAATACCTGGGTTCAATTCCAGGCAGGGTGAAACCTTGGGCAAGTTTCCTTACTCCACACACCTAATAATAATCCCTCTGAAACCAAAAACAATAATAAATTGGTCATTTTCAATCCACGACTGTTTGTAGAACAATTGGCTGCCGCGTTTCGCCCACAAATATACAGTCAATTCACTTTACAGTCTATTCTGTGAAGAGCTTTGAGACATCCAGAAGATGTGAAAAGCGCTATATCAAATGCAAGGATTATTATTATTATTGTTGTAATTACTGTTATGTGTAGTGACTGTTTGTAGCTAACTCCTCAGCAATTTGTGCCAGATTGGTGCTGTCACAAATCAGATTCAGCCAGTATGAAGCTGTGATGACTGGGATAATCATACAATAAGATCCATCTTTATTAGAATACATAATACTAACCCTTTATTGATTCAATCATTGATTCAGAGCAGAGCAAGGGTGGTTTACACTGATACAGTTTAGGCTCTGTTTCACTGAAATATTATTCCTATTAACCTGCCAGGCAAAACCTAATGGTTAGTGTGGTCCTTGTTGGATAAGCAGTGGGAAGCTTGCCAGTTGGTAGGTACCATAGTTAGAATAAAATGTTAATGAGCCTATCATCGAGTCAGTGACGAGATAATTAACAATAGTAACAGAAGCAAATCGCATTGTAATAAAACATGGAATGGGGGGAGAAGAAAGGCAGCAATCCTAGTAATTTAGTAGCAGTTTCTCGCCAGTTTCCTAGAATCCAGGGCACTGTTGATGATCACCAGCCAGGTTCGCAATGAGCAAGTGCACTTGCGGTGACGGTATGTGCGGGAGTAATGGAGGGAATAATGTGTCAGCACAGTTGCTGGCATGAAGCATCTCTGTTTATGGCAATAATTTAATTACAAAGCACAATTGTCAGAAAAATAATATATTTTTTAACTGGATTCTAATGTTGGCCTAAAGCCAGGATAGTGCAAATCAGAGCAGCCCAGAGCCCAGGCCTGTTTCTGCCAGGTTAGAGTGTGTTGTTCCCTGTCACTGTGCCATGACACTGACCCCCATTAAATCCCGCTCCACCTGACTCCATTGTCATGGGTTTGATTAACAAGGACATTCCAATCACATCAACGAGCCCTAATTAAGAGGCTTCTGCATTACACAAACTGCAATAACACAACACATCATTAATTCTATCACTTTTTCTGGAAACTAAACATACTTTTATTGTAAAATAGCTCAGTTACCATCCTCTTAATCTCTTGTATTGATCTATTATAATTGTTATGACAATTGTGGTTTATGATTATTGCCATAAGCAGAGATGCTTCTTGCCAGGAACTCTGACACTTTCCAGTATTTCGGTGATTACTGCAGCCTAACCCCAACTTCAGCTCAGTCCCCAGTTCTGCAGCATATTAACCATTATATTATATCAAATGCAAGGAATAATATTATTCATTATATATTATAAGAACTGTTGAAACAGGCTTCCAAATTATACGTGGTTTAAGAACATTCTAGAATTCTGCGCTATCTTGAATTTGAAAACAAAATAGTCTAACATTTACAGTCCTTAGAATTTCAGAACTTAGATTTAATCTTGAATCAGAATTTTCTTCATCACCACCCGTGCTCACACACATCAGCTGTATATTGTTATTCATTTTTAAACGTTTGTCTTTAAAATCTAAATGACGTTTGGATCTGTGGGTGTATTATACAAAGCTTCCCGAAAATGTCTTTATGATTGATTTCTGCTGTGAGTGAAGCATTTTCTTAACATCATCCCTCCTTTATAGCAGAACAATAAATTGATCCATTAATTGGTTCAGTAGGTCTCTGATTAGTGCTCAACAGCTTGTTGCAGACATCAGTATTGGCGTATCAATGGCTAAATGACAAACACACAGAGCCACCATCTGCTTCCCAAACTGTGCCGATTGTCAGAGCTTTGCACAGTGAGATCTCTGCTATTTCATTGTTGATTGTTTATATGGAGCAAGTTCACTCAGGATAAACTTCATTGTGATGTGCTTCAACAGCCAGTTTGCACCTTAGTAGAGGTTTATTTGCATATTTACCATGACCCAGAGAAGGCAGACAGGCTCTCGGGCAGTGAGGGGTTTGCAGTTAGAGAGTTTGTGCCAGGATTATGGCCAGTCTACGAGGCTTGTGTTCCAGGTTCCCAATCTCAGTGCTTCATCCTAGTGTGATCTGTAACATTCCTCACACATCCCCTTTCCTGCTGCTTATGTTCCTATTAGAGACATTCCACTGAGTCTTATCTAATGGTCAATAATTGTTTCCATGTTTTGCAACAAGAGATGAGTTTATCTGTTTACAATCCATTGTGTTTTCCTAGTGAATGAGCATGTAACTATTGGTATCACTCTACAGCATTGCTATACTTTGTAAGATTTCAGCAAAGGCATTAATCAGTTCCCCCTCTCCCTGCCTGTAACTTCAGTGGGAAAGCATTATTGGCAGTAGCTTGGAGTGAATGTTATTCTTGTAGCTGGTGTTGGTTCTGTACAGCTATAACTATTTTACAGTTGAGCACAATAACAAACACAAGCTTGGAGTCTTGTTGTCAAGATGGGCCTTACAGTGCCTCAGAGCTGGTGTCAGTTGTGCTTTGCTGTACAGCAGGACTTCATAATAAGGCAATAGTCTATCAAATTCCAACCAACCTTATAATCAAGAGCAGGTTTGGGTCCTCCACCGCCCACCAACCCCTTCTGTGATAACAAATAACTGAATTCGAGACCATCTCATTGCTGTTGATATTGTGAGAGGAGGAGATGTCAACAGTGACTGAGAACCTAAAGTCAGCTAGTATTTCAGTGCAGGAAGACAGATGGTTTGTGTGCTGAAATGAACAGTAGCTCCACAGTGCACTCGAGTTATGTGAGACATTATTATAATATGATTCTATTGTATATTCTTTGAACTGAGATTTGTGTGACCAGTACTTAAAAGCTTGATATTCCTGAGATCATTTTTACCCGTTATGTTGCAGTGTAATTACCTCCCCATTGCCAGCATTACTGCCAGATCAGATCGGTCTCAGTTTGATATCTGGGTTGTCCCAATGCTGGAGTAAGAGCTGAGAGTAATGTTAAAATTAGCCGGTGCTACAAATACCTCTGTTGCTGTAAGTAACCCACAGACTGGATTCCTTGTGTGGTGGCCATATTATCTGTAGTGAGTGGGAGAGAACATTACCTATGAATAAGTAATGTCTGTGCAGGAAACTTATCCTAATCTGTTCCAAAGCAGCCACAGGGTTGTCAGAGGAAAAGATTGGTGTTTTATTGTTTATTGTGTTTAGGAGAATTACTTGGCCATAAAGCTACTGCACGTCACTGATCCACTCCCTCATTGGCCAGCAGCCATGGCAATGGCACTGAAACAATGGCCATACATTGTTTAGTCACTGTTGATAAAAGGGAAGATGCAGAAAATGGCTCTCAGAGAGGCTAAGAGGGCATCAGCCCGAATGGCAGGGAGTGCAGTCGAGTGGGTTGTAGGATGTGAGCCAGCAATACCTTGTTACTCAAGCTTTCAATCAATGGGAAAGTCACTCAGCAAGCGACTGGAGTTTATGCAGTTATCAATCTGAGGTTAGGCAGTGTGGGGAATGAACAGGACAGAACTTAACAGTAAGTGCGGACTGGTATATGTGTCCTGGTGCATTTATAATATATAATAATAATATAATAATAATAATCCATGCATTTGATACAGCGCTTTTTGCATCTCGACATCTCAAAGCGCTTCACAGAATATACTGTAAAGTGAATTGACTGAATATTTGTGGGCGAAACGCCGCAGCCAATTGCGCACAGCAGTGTCCCACAAACAGGCGTGGATTGAAAAGGACCAATTTATTATTGTATTGTTTTGGAGGGATTATTTCATTAAAAAAAATGCTAGAAAGGAAATTAATTCAGGAATGGTAGGGAAAGTACTTACTTTACACGGAGTTCTCACCTCAGTACTGGCAGTGAGCTGGAGGCTCAGATACCATAACTACTGAACACAAATATACAGTCAATTCACTTTACAATATATTCCGTGAAGTGTTTTGAGACAACAACAACTTGCACTTATATAACACCCTCCAGGGTAGCATCTCAGAGTGCTTAACAGTGGCGAGAGCGCTTAACAGAGACGTTTAGAAGACGTGAAAAGCGCTATATCAAATGCAAGGATTATTATTAACTTTGAACGTAAAGACGAGGTACGCAAGCCACATCCATAATGTCAATCTTTCTTCCGTTCAGATGGCTCAGGAATTGCTTTACAAGTTTTACAAAGATCTGTGAGGTAAAAGAAATGACAACACAAGACACACACAATTGTTAGGACATTTCATATCTCACTATTAACAAAGCATTCACTGTATATAACCAACACCAACAACTTGCTTTTATACACGCCCCTTCACACAGGGCAGTGTCTCAAAGTGTACATATCAGTGGAACCAAAACTGTATCCCTTAAGCAGGCAAAAAAGAAGGGAGCCTGGACAAATCTGCCACTTTAGTGGTATCGTACCACGCACACTGGCATTATACACCCCCTACCCTGGCACACGGACTGGCATATGGACTGGCATACAGACATTAGAAACAATAAGAGACTCTGCCTCCCGCACAAGGAGAGACCTGTTTAACCTCCATCATCTCTTGGGCTCAGATTTTGACACTGTTTAGTGATTTCCCTTTTCATTGACTTGCAGGGCTCGAGGTCCTGATGCGATGATCCTGGTGGACGGACACCCAAGGCTGAAAGGGGAGTTATCCATCTCCCAGATGTTGTATATTGCAACACAAATTGCTTCTGGAATGGTGTACCTGGCCTCCCAGCACTTTGTGCACAGGGATCTGGCAACCCGCAACTGCCTGGTCGGAGGAAACATGCTGGTTAAAATTGGGGACTTTGGAATGTCAAGAGATGTCTACAGCACAGATTATTACAGGGTAAGTGTGAGCACAGATTATTACAGGGTAAGTGTGAGCACAGATTATTACTCGCTGGGAGATGAAAGACCATATTTATAATTCTCAGGGTTACCAGGGGAATATTGGCTGAACGTTAACCCTGTAATAAACACTGACACTGCAGAGGCTTGGTCACCAGCCAACAGTAGCTGTCATTATAATCTACTCCTACAATAGCCTGTCTAAATGTAAATAAAGCATTTTGAACACTTCACTTTCCCCAATTTCTTTTTTCTTCTATTCTCTTTTCTTCTAATGTTGCTGTTACTTGAGTTGATATTGTATTCAGGGCTCACACTTAGGGGAAAGTCACCCCTAATATACCTGCACCTGCTCAGGTGTAGATATATTGGAGCTAATGGCCTGTTTTCAGGCTGCAATTTATACGTAAGTGGCTTTGCTGCAGGTGCTAGCGGGTGGGTGGCCTGCCCTTGGCTGAGTGGCTGGAGGAGGTGTAGGATGTGCTGTCTGATCCTGTACAGTCGGATCGGGAAATAGTTGCTCCTTTTAGGTAAATGTTAAAAGTATGACATCAGCTCCTCTGTTATGTTGTACTTAATGAAATTTCAATGCATGTGAGTCATGTCTCTGTAGATCCATAACCATCGTGTTTCTAACAGTAAATGATTGGTCATTGTTGGAGTATTTAATATTAGTTTTACTGATGCGTGAAAAATGTAATTTATTCATTCAAACAAATCAATTACAGAGAATCTGCGTTTCTTATTCACATTCATTGCTGTCAACTCAATTAAAGCCTGTTTGGTGATGATACTGTATCTGCAACTCAAATCAATTTGTATATAATACTAAATTACTTCATGCAGATTTAATTATTCTGAGATTTAATGGACTCTGATCTTCAGTGTAGCATCTTCCAAATCACACTTCTCTGGTCATCGAACTCAGGGCAGTGTTTATTTTACAATGTCACCAGCTAGAATTGCATAGTTTGCCATTGAAAGCACTGACTGGTAAACTGGAATCAGCCAACTTGTTAGGACTTCGGTTTTCAGTGTTAACAGGAGCTGAGTGGGAAGAGCATCCCTGCCCCGAGTGGCTGGTCTGCTCCTCCAAGTCTCTCCCTTTCTTTCTCTGCCTCTCTCCCACTTGCCTCTCAAATTCTCCCAGACACTCTACACTGCAGAGCATACAATATACCCGCCCAATACTGATAGTATTAACAATATAAACCCAGAGGAAGACTTCACCAGTCCTCACATTATCTCAGAGACAGTGTGAGCTAGCAATTTCGTGGAGATTTGTTGTACCTAATGCAGGTGAGAATGACCTAATTTATAAATGATTAGCACACAGTGCTGCCTGCTACGTCTGGAGGAGATGCATGTGGTTCCTGGGCTCTAGTATTCGACTTTATTTCTCCTGAACTAGTATTCGACTTTATTTCTCCTGAACTGTACAAAACGAGGGTTAGTAGGTTAGCGATGGTCTAGCTCAATTGTAAGATTCTATATCACTGATACCAGTTCCACAAATAATAATACATTAATATCACTCTCTCCCAGTGATGATATTAACATTTTGTTTTTCACACAATTGGTTTAAATTTTGCCAGGAACTGACCATAGGAGAAAGACAATTTCTTCATTAAATTGCAAATGTTGCTGGGTGCGTAATTCATCCCTGGGACTGTTAGGCTGACCTTTCTGCTTCCATACAGTAGAATGTAGACAGATGGACTCCTTGATTAATAGATACTTGTCTCAGGCAGCAACTGTTTTCTCAAAACAATCACTACTCTAATTTAATTACAAAATTTAGCACAATAATGAGCATTGCAATTGTGTGTGCACAATTTTCCTACTGGCTGATCAGTGTATTGCAAAGCCATGTAACCTTGTCAGTGGGTGTACATTGAGGAATGAAGGAAGGCAATGAATATAGTGGAGGATTCATTGGTGTGCAGAAGGAACAAGATTGAAAGGAGAGACGGGTTTTGGGGATACCTGAGGATACGCCATAAACTACAGCAGACGGAATAAATTGTAAACAAATGCGATAGCCGTCAGCAGAACTTTGGTAACTGTCTAACACGGTGACAATGAGACCACAGGGTTAGCTGTGCAAAACCACACCAACGATGGATTAAACCAAATTTCGAAGCTGACAAAGCAGTTTTAGCTCTCTAGGACGCTACCCCACATGAAAGGTGCTATATAAATGCAAGTTTTTGTTTAAGTTGACAGGATTTTTGTGACTTTAGAAAGTACTGATGGAGCTGTTTGAGGTTAGCAAGTTAACAGCTCATGCTTCTTTCCGATAGGTTACTTTTAGCATCGATTAATTAATGTGCGGAGCTACAGACAGGCATGAAGATCACGTTGGCTCGTGATGCTCCAGACTGATTAAGTACTGAAATAGTTAAGACAACCTGAGAGGGAATTTGTTTTCCACTGAAATCCTTTTAATCTGTCAGAGAGATGGATATTTACTGAAATGTACCTTAATGGAGCTCGATTGATTGCCACTGCCTCAGTGTTGATGGCTACAATGCTGTTTATTCATGTTTATTTGTGGCACTTGGTCTGTGTGTCTGCTCCATGTTTCCAGTCACTAAGAGAAGAATGCAGACCCTATCAGATCTTTACTTGCCTGTACAGACAGTGCGCTCGGCTGATTCTGATTGGCTGCCGTTGCTGCTCAGGTGTAATTATCAGGACATAGCTCTTTGACACATTGTCTTTAGACACAAAGGCTGGAAATGATGCACAGTATTTAAGCAGTGAATGATAGGAACCTGGGGTGGGGAAGTCTAGTTTCCATTTTGTTTCCCAAAACATTTTGCACCGGAAAGAGTGACTAAGATCAGAGCCATAGGTCTATCTCTTGAGCTCCTGGCCACAGCTCTGCTGTCAGTTCTGTGCTGTTTGAGGTTGGTGTTACAGCACTTCCCACCTGAGGAGTGAGATCTGCCCTCACACACACACAAACCGGACACACACACACCACACACACACACACACACTGAGATCTGCCCTAACACAGAGGGAGGGTAGACACTGGAATCACTTGAGCGCTTTGTCACTTGGCTCAGGCCGGGCTTGCCCTGCCAGAGAGGCCACATCCCATTACCTGACCAGCTCAGGGGGTCATGAAGACGGGGTACAGGTCACATTGGCAATTTGGGACCAAGAGAGTTTGGGGGAGAGGGGCTTGTCTGCCAGGATAACTGTGGCTCCCAAAATGGAACGTATTGGGTGTAATTGGGTTAATGGGAGTAAGAAGCCCAATAAACATATATATATCTTGTCCCACCATTCATGATGCGAGCATCTGAATTAAGCCGTTGGTGTTGAATAAACCTGGTCACGACATTGCATTTGAATGTCTGGAAAATCAAGATGGCTGGCACATCATGAGCTGTCCTTGTATAGACCACCACACTGTAGCTGATGTTATCTCATTGCTGATGAGGGACTGTCAAGGTTTTGTTTGACAGCTGCTGGAAGGCATTAACTGGAATCAAAGTTTGTGAACAAACACCCTTTCATATATACAGGCCTCGAATCCACCTTGATTGTTATGCAGAGAGGGGAGCAGCTGCTGCTCAAGCTCTGCACCTCCAACTGGTGGACCCATCGCTCAGTGGGAAGGGGTGTGTGTCCAAGTTGGGGGCAGGAGGATGGAGGCAATGCTGAGCTGTGTTGCCCACAGAAGCTTGCAGGGTGTTCCTGCTATTTGCTTGCTACCTAGTGAGGACTCTCGCCAACCTTCACATAAGGCTCTCCAGAATTCAGTGAGCAGAGTGTGTCTCCAGTGAGAGAATGCTCATTCCAGTCAGACATAGTTGTGAAGACGGCAATACCTATGTGAAGCTTGTGTCAGATATCCAGCTAACCCAAACATGCTCTCGATGTGAAAAAAAGCCAGAGAATAATGCAGTGGCTACAACAACAGTGGCTATCCAGTGTGAGGGGCTTGCTTGTAGCTGCTTGATTTGCCTGATTTGCTTGTGTTGCAGGTGGGGGGTCACACTATGCTCCCAATCCGCTGGATGCCCTCGGAGAGTATAATGTACCGTAAGTTCACCACAGAGAGCGATGTCTGGAGTTATGGAGTGATTCTGTGGGAGATCTTCACCTACGGCAAGCAGCCCTGGTTTCAACTGGCAAATAATGAGGTACAATGTTCCTACACCGTTCAAAAATTGCCCTGACCGACTGAAATTGGGGGTTGTTATCTACTACTGATTGCCTTTGTGAGGCAGCAAACCCCAATTCCAGATTACATTTGATTGTCATTTAACCCAACATACTCGCCCCCCCGACCCCCCTCCCTCCCCCCCGATGGAGAGGAAAGGAGGTGATAGTGAGTTAGCTGGTGAAAATAGTCAGCATATTGTGCTATAGAATGAAGTCACCATCTTGTAAGCCAATCCTTCACTGAATTTTATTTTCAACACGTTTCTCCACAAATATTGACCTTAAACCTTGGCTTTATCAAAGTATACAGAAAATTCACTATCGTCACTTTAATCTCCTTCACTGTGTGACTTCCGCACCAAACAAAAATAATGTCTTTAACAGGATTCCATGATTCCTCCTCTCAGATATTTAAAAGAAAAGACTTTATCAAGCTTAATGTTGACAACGTTTTAGGTGTTAGAATAGAGAAGAAGTTCACTGAAGCCCTTCAATCCACTGTCCAGTGTTGCCCTTGTAGAACACATTGTAAATTGGGGATTTTGATTCGGAACACTTTAGAATGAATTACTGAGGTGTCCACATGGCAAGGCTACAGTATACATGTAATCTAGAGCTGAATATAAATTAACAGACTGCTTGTTGGCAGGTGATTGACTGCATCACTCAAGGGCGAGTGCTGGAGAGACCACGGATTTGTCCCAAGGAGCTGTATGATATCATGTTGGGTTGCTGGCAGAGGGAGCCCCAGCAGAGACTCAGCATCAAAGAAATCCACCGGATGCTTCAAACACTGGGCAAGACCTCCCCAATCTACCTGGATATCCTTGGCTAATGACAGGCGGCATGAGCCCCTTCTGAATGTACTTTATCTCAACAGTAAATGCTACTCCTTCAATTTGGAAAAAAGAAACTGAAGTGCCTGCAATGTATTAACATGTACAGTTGTTCTTAAGGAAGATTGGCTGGTCCTACACACAAAATAGAACAGGCATGTGTTCCGCACTGAGCAGACCTCTCCATATGGTAACATCTTGTTGCTCCATTAAAGCCCTAATGAAAATACAGGAAGTTCTTTTGCTTGAGAATGCTTATTAACTCCTGAGCCCAGTAAACGAGAATTCACCTGGAGGATTGGAAGACTTATTCCAGCATTTTGTCAGACTGTTGAGAAGTTTTTAATTTGATGGACAACCACGATCACACAATGAATTCTGATTGAATGTGGACCTGCAGCAAAATGTCTCAGACATTTCAATTTTGAAGGACTCACATTGGAGAATATTCTTATTATAGTCATGGATTGATATGGGATTGGCTGGGGATGTTCCCAATCACACAAGTCTATCTCTAGAAGAGAGTGTGAAGTCTATGTAAACCTTGTGTTAATACCTGGAGCTCCATCCAAATGTGTGTTAGTACCCAGGGGGCATTAGCTGTTCAGTTGAACTATCCAGTTTCCAGGCAAAGGGTTGGGATGGCTTTGATTAGAGCTGCCATGTTGACCCTTCTCAACATCTTTGGTTAATGTTTCTATTTTGCGGTTGCTGTAAGTTCCCCATCACTGGGATCTCTCTTCAGTGTCAGGTTTATATGTGCACAGAAGGTTATTTCTATTTTACAATATGATGTCACGTTATGTCACAAACTCAGGTCCTGGTGTGGACGGCTTCTATCTTGCTCAGCTCGGCACCTGAATGGATAATATTATCGCTACAGGATTGAGTACTTTCTCACAGAGAAGTCACAGTTCCAGACTCATTCCAAGGCTGTTATAATTATAAAGATTGAATCAGTCTGTGTTTTTTCCATTGGATTTTTAATTACCAGAATTCACAGGTAATCACAGAAATGGTAGATTGTACAGTGAGTATTTGATACAGAAGCTTGAACACAAACAAATACCCATTACAGGAGAGGTAATGAGAGTTCCCAGAGCAGAACAAAATGTTGGGAATGTAGACGGATACAAACTGAGTCATAGGGAACAGATGAGGACTTGATACAAGACAGTGAGCGAGGGTGTTACATTTGCCTGCATTGACATAAGGCGACGAGTGAAGAGAGTTAAATACATCCTCCTTGTGAAACAGGACAGCAAGCAAGGAGCAAGGTGTGCAGTGGGGATATCTGCCCCTGCTGAGAAAGTGCTGGCAGGAAACTGTGCTGACTAAGAGTGAATATTTGCATCGACTGATCTGGAATCTGCCCCCAGCACCAGTTTGGAATCACAGAAGTTCCAGAACTGCCATGTGAAACAGTGAGTGCCTCTGACGGGAACCCAATGTCAGCCAGCTCCAGTATAGATCTGACCAACAGCTGGGACGGATCTCAGGGCAGTTTTGTTCTCTACACGGAGCAGGAACCTGTCCCATTTCCCAAGTTCTCGCTGATCAGCGTCACGCAAATGGCCAAAGGTTTGGCCGCCTTTAATACAAATAATTTAAAAGGAACGAGTGAAGTCTCTTTAGCACTAAAACACAATTTAAAAAGTGAGTTTATCTGAGAGCTAGCTGTGGCCACAATCCAATCATCTCGTCCTTTGGTGCTTTGCCCAACCTGTCCCTGTCCCTGAACATTATCCTGACACTGACTATTATCCAAGGGAAGAACAATTGACATTTGCAGATTTCAGAAAATCCTGGGTTAGATGTCGACAGACTTTCATTCTTATTCCATTCCAGATAAGGCTTGCAATGCAGCCGGTGGAACTGGGACATGCGATTCCAGGCTTCCAGACCAGGCTCTCACATCACCTGCAAGTTTGTACCTTCAGAATTGGTTTAGAAAGGATGTGAACCAGGGGTGATCCTGAGCCTCATGTGTGCACCAGCCCAAGCTGGCAATCAGAATGTCGGAGTGATGGAATAATTTTATTTAATTTATTTAATTTCATCAATGCCACCATTGTGTGTATTTTCTTGTTAATAGTTTTGTAGCAAGTGAGCTGAAACACTGTTCAAACAAAAGGAAGCTTGTCAAAAAGAGGGAAGATCCTGGTCTCTGTCTATCTTATCATAACCAAGGCTCTTGTTGGTCCATTTAAACTCATTCTTCCAAAATACCCTCCTTATCATCTTCTCTTAAAATGAGACCAAGGTCCTGGCTTCTACCTGCTCTCCACCCTCCTATTATTCCCTGGTGTCTGTCCCAAACTTGCCATCTTGACCTCTGGACGCTACCCCGTGTGAAGGCCGCTATATAAATGTAAGTTGTTATTGTTGTTGTTGAACTGCTGCCATGACATCTCTGAAGGGATTTCTCATGGTTCATGTTTATGTTATATCAGAACGAACTGGGGAGATGTCCTGATTGAAACAGTTTTGTTGTGTTCGCCTACAAAACAGTCACTACACATTACAGTAAATCCTGTGAAGCCTTGTGAGTTGTCCTTCAATCATCAACGGCTTTGTATCAAATGCAACGATTATTATTTTATTTCATGTTTGCTGTTGCAGATTTACAATTCCACAAAGGTGAAATAATGATGAAAAAATGCTCTGCTGAATAATAATAATAATAATAATCCTTGCATTTGATATAGCGCTTTTCACGTCGGGAGGACGTCCCAAAGCGCTTCACAGAACACACTGTAAAGTGAATTGACTGTATATTTGTGGGCGAACGCGGCAGCCAATTGCGCACAGCAATGTCCCACGAACAGTCGTAGATTGAAAATGACCAATTTATTATTGTTTTTTTTTTGTTTTGGAGGGATTATTATTAGGCATGTGGAGTAAGGAAACTTGCCCAAGGGGCAGAAGTGGCCACGTGACAGGCACGGTTTGATGGTGAAGCCGACAACTATCATTGTGCTTGAAATGACAGATTGGCAGCCAGTGCCAGCTACGGTATTGATGTGTGTTTCTGTTATACCTGCAGTTTGGCAGCTGGGGGCAGAATGTAATTACATTTGTGACAATGAATGAATGTGTTCCTGGTGCATATGGTTATCAGCTGTACCGTTCCACACAATGCATCTGCTGTCTGATACTCTGGTGCATTTTAGCAAATCAAACATTTCAGTGTTCACCATTGGGAACATTAGGAGCTCCATGTTCTTTTACTTTATAGCCAGAGACACAGCATTAATTACGGTGCTTCTCTCTAATGCAGTATCAAACGGGAAATTCATGTAAATCATTTCAGTCATGTTTACTGAGTGATGCAATACAACATAAACATCTTGCATTTATATAGCGCCCGTCACGCAGGTATGATGACAATAATAATAATCCTTCCTTTTGTACTGTACCTTATGTCAGAAGGACAGCTCAAAGTGCTTCACAGGAATTACTGTGAAATGGAGTGACTGTGTACTTGAAGGCAAACACAGCAGCACAATTGTGCACAGCAATGTCCCACTAACAGCCATGAAACCAATGACCAATTTTACTTGGGGGATTGTTGGCCAGGACACCGGAAAAAACTCACTTCTCTTTTCAAATAGTGCCGTGGGATCCTTAATGTCCACTACAGGAAGATGAGACCTTGGTTTAATGTCTCATCCGAAGGACAGATGTAACACAACTTTCACATGAAAATCATATCACGAGTTTGGCCCCAGCGAATAGCATGTGGCAGATCAGATCAGATCAGATCAGACACTACAACGTAAAGGAAGCAGTTCTACGTTGGACCCATTTCACTGGCAGCAGATGCTGTTTATAGATCATTTTGAATCTCCAGTACTGAGTGTTGCCTGTATAGATGTACAGGTCTTTTCTAATCCATCTTTACATGGTGTGTTTCTGCTATCTGCTTTCCTTAATTTACTATGCCATTAGCTAGAAGCCTTATTAACGACACATTAATTAAGCACTCAGTGGGCCAGTTCCCAATGTCATTTGCAGCTTTTGATCTAATTTCTCCTGTAAAAGCTGGGTTCTCAGAACTAGAACCTTGGCAATATCCTCTGAAGAAATTGTATTTTTTTAATAATACAGTGAAGCTGGTTAAGGGGGACATTTCGGGACCGGGTGGTTTGTCCGGCTTAAGCGGTGTCCAATGTTAGCAAGTTACCTGACCTCTTCCCGTCCAGCAGATGAAAGGTACCTCCTCCATCCTATTGCCATTCCCATCGGACGGGAAGGGAACCAATTAGCGGTGGCTTCAAGGTGACAGCCTGGAGGACTCTATTAACAAGGGACTCAGCTGTCAATCAATTGCATTGTGATTCCTCCCATTCCCTCCATTGTTTCTTCCGCTTTCCTCCGTTCCCCTCACTAATTGACAGCCCACAGCCGCTTGTGATTGGCTGGAGTCCTGTCAATCAGTTGCAATGTGACTCCTCCCATCGCCATCCCAGAGACCCTCGTGGCTCAATCACAGAAGATATGAGTGGGTTTCCATTTAACCCTCATATTTACAACAGGTAAGAACACAGAATCGGGGCCAGGAGTTTTGTCTGATTTACCCGGGGTCCGTGGTTACCAGTGTCCGGTTAAAGTAGCTTCTACTGTATTTTAATATAAATGTGCCTAGCTGGAAATGTTCAAACCTAGGTGACTATGTTAGCAGATCGGCATATTTGCAATCCAACTCAAAGATTCAGCTGTTTAGTGAATTGTTTCTGGTAATGTAACCCATCACCATTGCTAGCCATCTTGTGCCCTCTAATTTTGTGTGTCTATCTTGTGTCATTTCCCTTTTACAATCTCAGGGGCTAGTGTAAGCAAGTGCATGTGTATTTATCATGTTACCAGTAGAAATGTTCCACACAAAAGCATTGGTGAATTCAAGAGATTAGTAACTGCTGGTGCATTAGCCTCTTTTGTTCCTAAATGTTGGGCAAGTTTCCTTAATCCACACACACGCCTCTGGTTATCTAGCAGTAAGAAGGAACTCAATTGTTAAGTCAATTGGCAGATCCATTTTTGGGGGTAATATCCTTCCAAAAAAATAATAATAATAATTTGGTCAATCAATCCACGACTGTTTGTGGGGACATTGCTGTGTGCAATTGGCTGCCATGTTTCGCCCAGAAAATATACAGTCAATTCACTTTACACTATATCCTGTGAAGTGCTTAGCGACGTCTCGAAGACGGGATAAGGTGTTATATCAAATGCAAGGATTATAATTTTATTCGACATCCAGATTGTTTCTTTCACTCTCCTGTCCCCATTTTCTGACTCAGTATCTGCCGCTATTTTCCTTTCCTTGTCTTTGAAACTCATCCTGTCCTTGAAA